TTACATTTAGAAAATACCCCATATATATTAAAAACTTTTAGAATCCCTTAATAAAATATTTTTACTGGTACAGTGAAAGGTATATTTTTCCCTTAACGTAGAGTACACGAATTGAAGGCTGAAAACCCAAATGAAAACTCAGTAGCAGATTGGAATGAAATTTATTCGAAAATTAAAAAACCGTTTTTTAAATCTCAATGTACCCTTTCTTTGAATACGACGTTTAAAGAGTAAAATATTTTCTGCCGAATGGTTTCAAAAGACAGTATTTTGGGTATGTTTTTCATAAAAACAGTTTTGAAACTAGTAGACCATAAACAAGGAAATGAGACTTACCATATAGGCTGATTATACTGGTTTTCAGAAGAAAGCACATTCAAGAACTAATATTCTGGCGTAACTGAACTATCACGGAATTATGCCGCAAAACACTCAACATTACAGACCGAGCTAAGTAGTGCTTCGAACTCGAAAACATGATCCAGATTTGCGGTTAACATTGCATTAGATCGGGCAGCGAGTATCTAAATAATGAGAAAAATATGAGATCGCCTTTGGGTTTCTCTTGAGACAGAAGTATATGCCTCTTGCACACGAAAATACGGGTTTGTACCTAGTGAGCGCTTTATCTCTCCTTGTCGAATGAATTAGCTTTGCCCTAAGCTACATGCAGTGGACAGCACCAAGAACGACACATAAAATTTACTTTAAGAAAGAAAGGGAACAGTGTTTTTTAAGTCTTCTTCATAAACGAAAAAATGCCTTACCTCGGTTTCAACTGTCAATACGATAGGTCAAATGATGTAAACTTTTGATTGAAATGCTCAGCGGTCAATCAACTGAGGCTAAAAACGCAAGTTCTCCTCGCCCAAAACAAGAGAGGGTCTTCATCGATTATAGCAGCCTGCTCAGAATAGGGATTTTGGGTTGCTTTTAATTGCGGATACCACCCCTTAATTACGAATTACTCCATATCGATTCACATCTAGTAAAGTCGCCTCTTTTGTGACCCTCTAACCTACTTTAGGCACAATTAAGCGATAAGACCTCTCGAGGAAAGGCGTCCTTTGGAAAAATAAAGTAATTTATTCAGTAAATTTTCGACACCGGAACCCAAGGTCGTCGTTAGACTTGAGAAAAATGTGCAAAGAACAGTCAACATTTCAAAGTGCTTATGCAGTTATATAGTCGTCTAGTGTGGGCGCTAATTGGTAGTTGCAATTTGCGTCACATCGTGGTGGACAAAATTAACAGCCGCAACGGCGTAATGGCTAATTGGCAAGTGTAATTTAAGTCGCTCCGGGGTCAGTCCGGGTCATCCGGTGTGAGCGCTAATTGCGGTTCATGTTAGTCCATCGTTATCGGCTGTAGTCTCTTCCACCTTTCTCTGAGGTGTTTTGTACACTTCGGCCAACTCGATACGCCGGTTGATACATGAATCATCGGCGTGCATGACCTCAAGAAATTCTCGGCCTTTTAGGAGGGGCAAACTCCGACGATGCGTGTTTTATCCCATGCAAAGTTATGTTCTGTGTCAAGACAATGCATAGCCACTTCGGACAATTGTTCACGTCTCTTCACTGCCAATTGGTGCTCGTGGATGCGTATGGGGACGGATCTTCCTGCTTGGTCACAATATACCGTGTCAAAAGTTTCGCATGGGATTTTGTAGACTACTTCCTTCTTATCGAGGAAGCCAACCCCATCCCTAGGGCGTAAGAAAGGATACGCCATGTGTTTGTTTTGGGCGCCTGAGTGGAACTATCTAGCTTTTTGTTGGATTGTTGTTGTCTCATACATGGGTGTACAAAGTCTCTGGGATAACCATTGAGGGAAAACAATTCAAACAGAAAATTTAGCTCGTTTCGGTAGGTTTCTCCTTCAGAGTGGTGTGTCTTTGCTCGGCGTAAAAGACTGTTGACGACACTCTTTTTGTGAGAGATGGGGTTGTTGCTCTCACAGGTAAGAATAACTTCCGTATACGTATATTTGCGGTAAACGGACGTCTGTAATGTTCCATCAGCATTTCGCTGCACGCGAACATCCAGAAATGCGAGTTTGTTGTTCACCTCCTTCTCGAACGTGAATTAAATGCCCGGAATGGTTGAGTTGATGGTGTAGTGGGGGCTTCGATTTGGTTCTTTTTAACGACAACAAATGTGTCGTCTACATATCGTACCCATACTTAGGACTAACCGATAGAAGGGCCATTGATTCGAGCTTCTGCATGGTTATTTCAGCAAGGAATCCAGATATGGGTGACCCCATCTGAGCTCCTTTTAATTGTGGATAGTACTGGTGATCATTTTATCATCAGTACATCATCCGTCAAAAAAGTACTGGTTCAATTCAAATAAACGATTTACAAATGAAAATTAAATACGGATTGTATTTTGTTGCGCACGAACAAGAAATTGACGAAAACACTACGATCAACGGACGGCTGCACGTGTGTCAGCAGTATCCTTTACGAAACTTTGTAACCTGTTTTCTTGAACCAACAAACCCCTTGTTGCTAGTTTCAGGAAGAACAGCACATTATTTACTTCCGAATGGAATATTCTCTTCCATCTCTTCTTGCAGGTAACCTCTGTCACCAGTTCAGCCTTAAAGAAGATGAACTTAACATCTACTCAGTCAAATTATTCCCCGCTGGTAACACCCGATGGAATCATTAAAACGGATAAACTTTTTTTCCCAACCCGAAGCCTGTCCGACGTAGTAATAGACGGTGAGTTTGCCCATTTTTAATTTTTTTTGCCATTAATAGCATCCTTCTTCTCCTTATGGAAATTGTCTGATCAATATTGGCGTAATGAGTTTGTAAGTCTTAAGTTTAGATGGGGTTGTTGTAACTCGTTTTTTGGTGGAAATGTAGGTTGTATTAAACAAACGAAGTTGCGTTCCGCGAACCATCAGGCTGTTGATAAGGTGGAAGGCACAGATACATATTATTTCATTCGTGCGCCTATTAAGTACACATTACTTACTTTGTTCGTTTATTGTAAAAGGACATAACATCAGAGACTAAAAGCGGCCAAACTTACCAGAAAAAGTATTACTATTCAGGTGTTCGACCTCAAAAAGACATGCCGAAAATTATACCGAAATCAAGTGAAATTTTCACGAGAAGTAAACCACTGTTATTGTCCTGAGTGATGTTTCTTCTGACAACAATTCTTCATTGTGTATATATACTGCGCTTAAGCAAGGAAAAATAGAGGAATATGGGTACTATGTAAATAGTTTATAGCGCGACGGGAGCACGGCATCTACGCCGTAGATACTTTGGTCTGCGACCTTGACAAAACAATATGAAATGCAATAGTTTTAAAAAACTCTGTCCGTGCAAGGATTGATGGCTACGATAGTCAGCATTACAAAAATGTTTAATAGAGTTGCGGTCCAGAGTAAGCCGTATTTGTTATTATCTCTTGCTTGTTGGTTTCAATACAGATCTACTTTTACCTTGAAGTCCTAGGGGGACAAGTAAGCCATGATTATTCCGGTATCCCCAATACCCAATTGTACACGCGTCGATACACTTCCACTGTTTATAACACCAAAGACAAATAACGCCCTATTATTCCTCCTCAACAAGAAAGCGGCAAAGGTAGTTTATGTAGTGCACCTTATTTACCCATACTCCCAACATTTGTCCTACTGAAACGGGTTTTGTAAGGGTTTCGGGGGTGGAGACATAGGAAAGGCGATGAAGGAACTTTGCAGAACGCTAAGCAGGACCTCAGGTGAGTTAAAGTAGATGACCTCCTACCCATCGTTCCTATTTTTTCAGGAATTTCGAGAGAAATGCATTTTGATAATTGGGTTTTTCCATAATACGTTCAACAGTAATACAGATTAGGAAAATTCACAGATATAAATCAACAACATTTGTAAATGTAATAAAACGAAAATGCATGTAACAGTTATTAAAGTATATTCCACTGCCTATCCTAATTCTCCACCAACAAAATCCCTATAACCACCGTTTCCGTGGGACTAAATGCTGGGGATTGGGGTATATGAGGTGAACTACTTAAACTATTGCCGCCCAAGAAAACTGTTGGCCGTATAATAGAACTTATACCGACTCCGTTCAGCAAAAAGGTGAATCATATACATTTAGATGACATTAGTGTTATACTGCACTCGTGACATAAGTACGAGGTGAAAACCCAGACGATTATTTCGTCAATTTTCTGCTGGCGCTTTATGTAAATATGGGGGCTTCTGTTCTTTAGTAGGTCCTCTAGCCCTCAGTATATGGTTTCTGGTATTTATATTCCAGAGAAAAGTCAAAATAATTGTTTCATCAACATTTGAGAGACGAAGGCCTTGACCATTCCTGTATTTAATAAAATGATTCAACCTTATGTGGTCTGTTTAGACTAATTTACTACTGCATTCTTCTTTGAATTGCAAGAATATGCACAACAGGAGCCTTAATAACAAATATTCGTTTGGAAACATGGAATCTTCTTTATATTACAGGTGTGGAAACCAAGCCCGTAATTAGCAAACCATACGAACTTCATCCTCGCCCTCTGACGGACGAAATTACACAGGTTCTCGGTCCCAAAAGTATCTCTAAAGTAATGGAATACAGAGACCTCCAAGACTACGGATATGAATGGTACTCTGACAGAATGCGAAGTGTTCAATTGAGTACATCAGCCTCGAGCGAACTAACGGGTCAAGAGCACGAGTTTACTTCGCTGTCTCCTTGTGCTGCAAAACCGATCATCAATCCACCG